GTGGTCTAGGCAATGGATATCGATCTAGCGTCTACCAGCGTCCAGCAGCGTCCGCCAGCGATCACCAGCGTCTGGACTGACGAGGAAAGAATGGATATCGATCTAGCTCTAGAAGCGTCCACTAGCGACCACCAGCGTCCAGGCATACGATATTGTGTAGTAAGTTGCACACGCCACGCAATTCCACTACGCCAACAAGGCTAATTGCCTAACAAGGCTAAATGCTCCCTCCTACTTCCACGTGCTCTACCAGCAGTCTGCTACCTTCCCCTCCCCATCCCCCCATACTATCTATACCTGGTCACCGGTGGACGCTGGTTGACGCTAGATCGACATCCATGGTACCCTCTTTCGTAGCCCCTCGAAAGCTGACCATCGCTGGCGGACGCTGCCGCAAAGTATCAGCGCAAGTCTTATAAGCAGTGCTCAATCTTGATACACTCTACCATTACTCGCATCCCAGCTATTCCTCAAAAGTCCGCTGAGTGATCACGAGAGTCGATTCACAGAGCACAAAATAAGTAAAGCAGTCGGCGCTGATTAACCACACACAGTGGACTCCCGGTCACCTCCACTCAGTCCGCATAATCAAGTGATGTTCTGCTCGAAGGCGGGTCCCAGACAGTTGATCTATACCAGGCTTATCGTTAGATCCAGCGGCCGCGTATGGCACCTCATTAGTGCACTTTTTTTACTGATAGATATCAGTAATTTTACAAAATGTGAGCGAAGAGTAATTGCTATATCACTTGATTCGGAGGAGAATCCAAACTAAAAACCTGAGGTTGCTCATAGCTACCCCTATTTGAAAACCTTAATCGATGCCCACTGCTGCTAACGGGTTCCTAGTCACACAGCATTCGTTCTATGATGATTGCCGATTAGTGTTCTACCCGCCATAACAATTACACAAGGTATCAAGACAATAACAATTTACCGTTTGTTTTGTAGCACACATGTAATTTGGCTGACAGGCCATTTGGCGGTCGTTGAAGGCGCTGCCAGGAGTGCATTCCCTCAACTGCCACTGTAACCCTTTTGAAGACTGGACGCACTCGTAGTACTGCAAAGAGAGCTTGTGGAAGTTGAAAGTGAAGAGTTCCAAGAAAATGGAAAAAAATACAAAAAAGGCCTTTTTGCTAAATGAAGCTATTCGAATAGACTTCTACCATATCTAGCGAGAGAATTGGTTGAATAATTCAAAAAGCAGTGAGTGTTCTATTAATATTAGGCTGAAATTGGCAGGCCGTCTCGTACTTATGCGCCTGATAAGCTTCTCGTCGCTGTCAGAGAGGCTTCTGCGATCTGGAGCAAGTCGGCGGCTCCTTCCCTTGCAGTACTATTATCTACAATTTCTACCACTTCCGTGTTCACATGTTCAACCTTAGTCGAGGATCTGTTAATACCTCGATGGCATCTCACCGTATTTCATACTTGCAGACGTGATTTCAAAAATCTTCCTTGCTATAGGGTGAAATGCGAATTTTCCCTTTTTAAGGGCCTTGATGCCAGATGAATAGCGGAGGTGCTACAAACAGTTGAACAGCATCAGCGGATGATTGCGGATAGTAACGGCCCTCTACTGTTATCTGCTGTTTTTTCAGAAGGCTGGTTTTACTACTACAACGTCTGAATCGAAGATTGCTTTGTTGCGATTCCGATCTCCATTATACCGCATGACTGCTGAATTGAACATTGTGCAAGAACATTGACCATCAGTTTTGGGCACAAAATGAAAACGGCATCCTCAAATGCTATAAAACTGATAGGAAACCTCATTGCAAAGACTGCTCGGTCGTCGTTCGCCCTTACGACACGTTGTGCATCCTTCAAATACGTTTCTCGGTGAGCAGTAACGGCCATTGTACACCTTGTCTTCT